CTGAGGAAATTGTGACCTTTAGCTCTGTCCGCCGGCGCGATGTTCGTTAAAACAAAGACATTAAGCTCAAAGACTAGCTACTCAATAAGAAAAGATCACAATATATTTTTATTATTAAATAAATTTGAAGTTGGGTTAGATTTATTATTAAAATAAAAATAATTTTAAAAAAAAGTTTAATATTTAAAATATTATTTGACATTTATTTCCACAATAATAAAATAAAACATTATTATTTAATGAACAAATTAAATTAAATTAAAAGATTCACCAAAATAAAATTCATCTTAAAATCTCTAAGTGTCATTTAGTTTTAAAGAAAAATATTCTAAGTCCAAATTAATTTAAAAATCGACTAAGTCCCGGAGAGTGAAATCTTGAGTAGAGTGTCGTAGATTTTGTGTATTTAAATATCGCCTATATATATGTATAGAAAGAACTGGTTTAGACGGGGAAAAATGGCTTTTTATATTCTGAAGGGGTAGCTCAGCGATCTCTTCCGTGATCCTGGAAGCTGAGGCTTTGTATTTTAATTAGTTAATTAAAAGAGGGTCCTGCGTGTAGGCGTTACTTAATAATTTCTACAAGAGGGAGATTTTTTGCATTATGAAAGGGTTATTTTGTATTTTAAATAAGAGAACCCAGTTTTGGTGATCTTGTATAATCATAATATGTGACATACATGTACAAATGATAACATCATATTATATGTGAATATTATATGTAATAATATAATGTTACAAGTAAATATATTTAAAAGAGGAAATCGATTTTATAATTATGACTTTTGTATAATTATTAGGTTTACTTTTTTCATTTTCCAATATCATCTCAGCTTCGCATCGAAACTAAGATTGATTTGAGATATTATCTGAAATTAGTCTCTAAATTTATTATTTAGTATTTTATTTTAATTTAATAATTTTAATAACCAATAAATAATTAAGCATTATTATTAGGAAAAATATCCACTATCATTTTATATCAAGCAATTTACACTGGATAATTTTTTTAAAATTTCTGTTGAAAATGATGAAATTATATTCAAAAAAAGAAAATACATGAAACAAAAATCACAAAAGTATAAATCGTCACTAATAAAAAACAAAACAAATGAATCAGGTAATGGATATTTAACTTTTTTAATCATATTTTGATACGAAATAGAACAGATCTAACTGACAACTCTTATCAATTCTATTACAATTAAAACTTCGCTGTAATTTTTTTTTTTTTTAATTTATCTACTCATAGACTACATTTATATAATTTTTCATGTTTGTTTTTAATAATAACGAAAAAAATTTAAACATTTTTTTTTATTTTTAGATATTTTCGAAATTTAAGAATAACCAGGTTTTTGCGTTTTTCATGCAAATAGTTTTATTGAGATTACAATTTTAAGGCAAACACTTTTTGAGTTACAAGCATTTTAATACACACAATGGATATGTGACACGTCTGTAGTATGTATTATAAATATACATCAGAACAGGCTGTATCCACCCGCATTACATACTCACTAAATGTATTAAAATACTAATAGCTCAATAACTACTCATCTTTAATTATTATCGACCCATTAAAAATTTTCGATAAATGTTAAAAAAATTATAAACAATAAGAAAATGTAATTTTTTTTTTTTTTTTGTTATTAAGGTAAATACTTAGAATTATGATATTAATATTGTCTAAGAATGCATAAATTATTTTTTAAAAAATTACATCTAAATGATAATTTTATCAAAAGTAATAAGAATTTTCATTTAGATCTGTTTATCCTGTTTTACTAATTATATGAATAATAAAATTTTACGAATTAGTAGAATATTAAAAGCATTTGGTAAAATTATTATATTTCTACTAATTTTAAATAAAAATTATATTGTATAAATGTATATTAATGCAGGACTTTACAATGTTATTATATTTGTATGACTAAAAAGTTATGATAAAATAGTGTTAATTAAAAGTTGCTGATTAACATTTGATAACAGTAATTTTAATTCCTCAGTTCAATTGTCAATACGTATGCATATAGAATTTTCTGGTTCTTAATTAATTTTTAAAATCAAAAGTTTTATTTAGAAAACAACTAATTTTTATATTTATTTCTATATGTATAGAAACTTGTGATTCTCTATATTTCATTAAATAATTACTTAAATTAATTCATTTTTACAGAAAATTATAAAGGGTTAAATAATTTTAAATAATAACTGTTAATACTCGTGAATGGACTGTAATCATAAAATAATAAAAACAGAGTATTAAGCTCTACTATGTGTAATATATATCAAATGTCGTTATAACCTAACTGCATGAGTAACCTACGCTGGTCAACCAGTAATACTATATGCGTTACGTCGTGTAGCTTAATCTGTGAATATTGTGCAAATAGCCCTTAACATGTCGTGGTATACGCAGAGTACCATGGACACATAACAGTAGAGTACCGCCTTGCACGAGTACCCTAGACGTCAATCGACCACCTCAGTGCACCGACAACGATGACTATAAAACAGAAATAATTAAAATATAGTTAAGGCACCATACTCTAATTATTTCTTTCTGATTATGTGAATTATGGCTAATGTAGCTGTGGGCAGGTGAACTCATGCAGTTAACTTATTTAGAATTGCTCTAAATGTTACTCTCAATAATATTGTGTTATGTATAAATTTGTCTATTGTAGACAAATGTATTCTATGCAATAAAATAAAAACAAACTTACTTATAGTGAAAAATCAAACACAAACTGACTTGCTTTATTCAAGAAAATAATTTTCAACAAAAATAACTAAATAAATATGTAATATAAAAAAGTGGAATATCTGCTGCGTCCTTCTTCTTCTACTTGGTTCTGAAAACCGACCGTCGTTGAGACTACAAGCAACTCTCATTACCTTTCAGCCTGGTAGGTAGTATCGACCCCTTTTGTGACGCTAGGCAGTTGGTCAATCGAACTACCTGTCTCTCTGTTCGCCGACAATAACCAAACAAAGTCACTCTCGAAAAAAAAATTGATAGAACTTTTTAGTTTTTACTATTTAAGTCAAACAATTTAATTATTTAACGGATATATAAATGAATTCTAAAAAGTAATACATTTTTAGTCTTCCATAAATAATGTTTTTCTATAATATGTAGTTAAAAATTCATTTATTTTTATTTAACATAGTTTGGTTATTTGTGATAAAATAATTTTTTAGTGTAGTTTGATGAGGTCATTTGAAAATTAATAGGAATTAACTACTATTTTACATTTCAAAAAAAATGAGCAGTAAAAGTTTTAACTGGTAAATAATGAATATGTAAATTGGTTGTCACGTTATAATGTCATATATTTTATAAATATTTCAATTTTTCCTAAAATCTTTTATTTTTCTTAGATTTACTAAGAAATTAAATAGTGCTACTTTAACAGAAAGTACGTAATAGAAATTTTTGGTATTTCCATAGATGATGAATTAATATCAACATTAAGAGAACATTTTGAAAAACTCACACTAGACGAAATTAATCTTAATGATTTAATAAGTAAAAGTGATTCAAGAAACAAAGGCACTATCCCAAGAAATCAAGCAAAAATTATTTTTAAAAAAAATGATTTGTTTAAAAATGATGAAAATATAGAGAATACATTCAATAAATATAAAGAGGATAATGATACATTTAATTACAAAAGTAATCTTAGGTTTTTCTAAATAGTATAAAAATTTTTATGAATTCTTTCGACAATGCCGATGTTAAAAATTCACGTTTTTTATGCTGTTTTTTTTGTTTTAAATTTATTTTTTTTCTGAAAATTAATTGTTTATGTTTAATTAAAATTAATCATTTGTGGCTAATATTTTAAAAATATTTTCAGTTTTCAATAATACTTTATATTTAAAATTACTTTTACTTTAAATAATTAAGAATTTTAGATACATAAATAGGCATTTATATGATGTATGTATTAGAAAAGAGGACAATTATTATTTAATATTTTATTTTTTTGACACTATTTAACTAATGCAAAAATTCTCAAATATACTATTCCGCTTTTTGGTGATCATACTTGAATATCATATTACTAAATATCAATCATTTTTTCTAAAGATTTAAAAAAATATGAATCATTGTTATTAATTACTAATTTAAGTCTATATACCACACCAAGCGTGTGTATGTTTTTAAGTATGTAGTGATGCCCTGTGTAAGCTGGCGAGTCAGGAATCAGTTGACGAAACTTAATTACTTATTATTGAGTTGTGATAAATATCAAACTAATGAATAAAAATTTATCATGGCATACGGATACTTATAATTTAACACTAAATAAACTAAAAATACCTTTCTTAACATAATTATTATTTTTTTAAAAAAAACTTTCATGGCTATCGTTAAAAAAATAACACTGTTAATTATTTTTATCACACATTTTACAATAATGCAATAATAAATATGGCTTGTTGATGATTTTTCAGATATTTTCGTGTATTTGACATTATTGCTTTAATTTTATGTTTTAATTTTTATCAAATAAAATAAAGTTTCATATAAATTATAATAATTTTCATAAATAATAAACTATTCCTACAGACTAATAATATCATTTTTTTACTTTACATATGTTTTTATTTATTATTTTAATTCTTGACAAAAATTTAAAAAAAAGTGAGTTTTTAGTATAATTATTTATATTTGTCATCTCGCCTTTAATAAAATGTCAACATACAGCTTAGTCAGGATAACTTACCGAATTTAGCATTTATAGATAAAAAAATTAATTTAGGTATATATAATTTTTTTTTAATAGGGTACTTGAAATATGTTGCGGTTCAAAAATATTGAGAACACTGATCTAACATTTAAAGATTTCCAATGGAAATCTGTAAACTTTGTGTTCTCCGATTTATCCGGATAACTCCTGTATTATTTTTGGCATATATTTATTTTTGAGAATTTTAACTACTCGTATATTGATATTAATATTATTATTGTATGTATTTTAGAATGGATTGCAGAATTTTGCGATGTTTATGAAGGAGATAAATCTAATTTTTTGACATATGATAAGAATACACGAAAATGGAAAAAAAAATACCCAAGTAACTTTTATTCGTAGTTTATAAAAATATAGTAAAATAATTTTACTATATTATTTCATTAAATATATTTGTTTCACTAAACATTTATTCATAAATGTTTATATTGTTATTAATTTGTTTGAATTGTTATGTTTAATGAAATTTTGTATTATAAATCGCTGATACTTTTTTTGAGAATATTGTTACTATTATCCACACTAACACATAATGACATCTCGAATGAAAAATATTCTTATATACATCAAGTCATCTTATCATCTAGTGACGTTATCACTAAGTAATATTATTATATTTTACCAGTTAACACTAGTTTAAAAATGAATTTTGTAATGATTCATTATCCCAATTAATTAGATTATTCATATTTTTAATAATTTGTATTACTTCTATTGTTTTAAACACTTTGTAATTATTTACGTTTTTAATTAGTTTCATAGTTGTAATGGAATAATTTAGTGTAAGTAAATATTTAGCCTCGGGTGATTTATAAATTTCTTGATTTTTAATGCTGCTTAATTTTCTCTTAAACCTGACCTTACATACTTTTTTTTTTTTGTTCTAACGTGACATTATTTAACTTTTTAATTGTATTTTATGACCGCTTGATTTTCCTCTTCATCTACTATATCTTTAGGATTACCTAATAAATCTTTTAATTATTTCTTTAGATATTACTAAACTAATACTAAAATTCTAAAAAATTTTGATTTTAGAATTGAGATGCTCGTATAATATAAAATGGGCGTTCTAATTACTTTTTGTATTCCCACGCTAATGAGTCTAATAAATACCTTTCGATTATAACCTAAAGTTATTTATCAAAATCTATTTTATTGATCGGAATATCAAATTATCTATTAACCATACTATTAAAATCTGCCATTTTGTGTAGTCAGTTGTGGTTTGAATTATTTGAAATGTGTGAACTGAACGTAATTATTTTCGTACGTCGGTAGTGCCCCAACGTAGACACAAAAGTTTAACACAAATTAATTAATGTTTTATATATACATATATATATATATATATATATATATATATATTGACGATGAGTTCGTCGTTCAAGCTCTTCCCGAGTCCTCCTGTTGGATAAACTGATCAGCCCCAATCCCTCTAATTAGTGAACCACTAAAGGGGTAGAGTTTAGACACGTCAGCACAGTCTAGCTCAAAAGTAGCAGACTGAAGGGTGACTCCTTGTCAGCTACCAGCACAACTACCTTTTTACTATACCTACTAAAGGACGGTTAAGCCCAAAAACTAGCCAGCTCGTACACTAATTATTAAGATTGACTAAAGGACCAGCAGTCCAACCTTGACTCTAGCCGCACACACACACAAATTCTAAGAATACGGTGAATATAAAATATTTGCGCTAAGCCCAGATTTTTAAATAGTTATTTTATTTAAGAAACGTATTAAACACAAAATCAAATATAATATAAAAATTTAATACAAAAATGAATTAAATCTTACAAAAATATAAAGTTACTCTTATTCCAACGACCTAACCCGTAACTCGACGTTTCTTCGACAAAACGTCCAGTCTCGTCTCGCCCAGTATCGTTTCCCTTTTATATTCTTTTTCCCACCATTATTAATTTGCTTACCCTGCATTTCCCTTTTATATGGAATTATTATATTGCTTAAGAGTTCAAAAATTGCTTACTACTATTGTAAAGCTTATATTATACTAAAATCGACGTAATTCAATACTTCCTCATCTAATTACTACAGTATAATGATCTAATAAATTTCAAGTTTTAATTCAATCTACTATTTTAACTAATAAATCCAAAAATTCAATTTTTTCTCTACGTCATGTTTGTATGTGATTCAATTTATGGGTATAAAGAATATAAATGTTGTATAAAGACTTCATATTAATTATAGTTTATAAACAAATTTGTATGACTAAGTGGCTATAGAAATACATAGTCAAAAACATCATTGACAGGTGAAATCAATTTGACAATTCTATGCCATTTAATGTTAAATTAATTTTTCGTAAGACTCTCTGTCGAAACTACTATACATTTATTGATGAAATTTCTTGGCTTAAAAATTATTATTCATGAATCATGAAAGTGCGAAAAATGGAAAAATGTGATGTTGTGTCACTATTTTTTTTCGTCATCTTACCTTGATAATATTATAACTTACCCCTTGGTTAGGATAACTCGCCAAATTTAGCATTTATTGAGTAAAAATGAAATGAGGAATATCAATATTTTTAATTAGGTACTTGATGTATTACAATTTAAAATATTTCTAATGGGAATCTGTAAACTTTATGCTCGACGATTTATCAGGATAACTCCTATATTACTTATTCATATATATTTATTTTTCAGAATATTAACTACTCGTTTATAACAATATTATTATATTATTTATTTTCAGAAAATACAAAATACTATTGGAATGTTATTAAAAGAAATATATCTATTTTTAATGATAGCAAGATAAAAAATTGATAAAATAATACCTGGACTGTCTCTTTTACATAATTTATAAAAATATAGTAAAACTTCATTAAAAATATTTTTTCCATTCAAATTTTTTTTTCATAAATGTTTATATAGATTTAAATAAATTTATGTATAATTTGTTATGTTTAGTAATAATATGTTTCATATTAATTATAGTCTATATTTTAGTTACATAGTTATTAGTTATTATAGTTTATTTATTGAAACATGATGATTTTAATTTATTTGTTAAATAATTCTTTGTAATTTTTTGATTCCACCTTCACCATAATTAATGATAATAATGCTAATAGGTAGTCCGTATGTTAATTATACGAAATAAATGTAAGCAACACAATATTTCAAGATTGATAATTATCGTAGAGCTGTTTATTCTCATTTGCAAACAAGTATAGTACAGAAAAAAGGAAACACAAGAATAATTCACGAAACCAAATTAATTAACCAATCTAGCGACTCTTGGTTGATGAACGGTTCACTAAAGGATGTTGTTCACATTGTGATTTTTAATTTAATCGATTCTTCTACAAAGAGTAGTTAGTTCACGCTATACTTTCGAAAGATTTACTATAAGATCCATGTTTGTTACAAGATTGTTTTTTTGTTATGTTTTCGACCATAAAGTTCCCTTAAGTAGTAGAGAAATATAGGAGTCTATTACAACAGAGTTTGATGCTGTGATAAAGTTATATACTCTATAGTACACCAGGTGTTATAAATGACCCCAATGATCACACTATGAACTACTGTTTGCGACAGTATGTTTTGCACGGTTTAATTGCCATACTGACAACTTCATTCTTCTTCCACTTACAGCAATCGGTTATTATCATCATTGTAGATGAGAAGTTATTAATCGAATTGTTTTATTTTATTTTGACGCCATTGTTGCATTATTATCAAGTATTCTACTTCTTTCTTCTGTATGAATAGACAAAATTAATGAGTGTTAACCAACCCGCGCGAGTATCACCAAGCGTTGCGTTAACACAGACCGTAGTACGGCTATTTATACACGGCACTAGATTGCCATTTTGCCTCATGCCTGTTTGATCGCTAAAGGGTTCTATGATAGGGATCACCTGAATGGGTAGAAAAAACAATAGTTAAATAACGAATTTAAAAAATATTGAATATATTTAATATCTAGCATAACATGTGTTCTTCAATGAATAATCTTAAAATAAGGTGGCTTAGGGGCGTGTCCTTATTACTCGAATGACCGACAAAGCGATATATGAACAAAATAGAAAATATATTATATTATTTTACAATTAATTCTAATGTAACAAAATCTACATGTAATATTTAATCATTTGTTAGACATTGTTTTATTTCTTAGTTAGTAGCTCAATTAATTACAAAATAAAAATTGAATGACATTTTTTTTTTAATTCTAATTATTTTTGAATATATTAAATTAACTTTATGCTTAATTTTTATATTTCTTCTAAAGTATTACACAAGTTTAGCTTTAATGTTTTGCTAGGTAGATTGGGGACACTCGTTTTTTTTATGACATCAATATAATGCTGTTGTTATTATCAATGGTACTAAGACACATTGTTGTGAGTCCATAAATACACTAACTGACAATATAAAAAGTATATATATTGATAGTCATAATTGATAATAAATAATCCGTGACTGTGAAAGCGATATTATAAAAAACCAATTAGCTACTTGTATTTTTAATCCCTTGTGTATTATTCCTGTATAATAACTCAACAATTTGAAACTCCAAATGTTTATATTTAATAAACAAATAAAGTTATATTAAAAATTCAAATGCCATTTACTATTAAATTAAAAAATTTAACATTTTATTTTATTTTAAAATACCTGACAAGGGGAGTACAGATTTTCATAAATATTATATAAATTAAAATTAATATAGTATAGATAGTTAAACTTATTTAAATTTGTTTGCTCCTTTTAAGTCGAGAAAAATAACTTTGAAATTTGAATTAGCTTAAATAGCCAATTTTTTCAGATGACTGTAGCGACGTATGGTTGCCGAGTTGGTAAAACTTATATTTTACAAGTTTGGGTTGCGAGGTTCCAACCCGCGTATGGCAATGAATGTTTTCTTAATTCTTTTTAAGTTAGTATAAATTTTTAACTCGTTTGATTTTTATCTCATTTAGATTCAATAACTTCAATAAAGATCAAGGATCCCATCATTTTAGTCGCCCCTTGTAAGATGAAATTTCTTATTCGTATTAAAATTATTTTACTATATTTTAAGTTTTAGCTTCGATGCAAAGCTGAGAAGATATATTTTTGTGACTATCATTTATTTTCTCTGCTCTAACTTGACCTACTTTTTTCNAATTTTCACTGCTCTAACTTGACCTACTTGTTTCAACGATACGTCAAATGACTACAATTCGTATCTAGTTGAAGATATTACCCTCAAAAATTGAAAAAAAATTTCAATTTAATCAATTAAACAGTTAGTTATTACATCGTCTCCATAAAGACAATTAAAATCATTAATTTCTAATGTTTTCAAAATATTTATTAACGAATGAAGTTTGATATGATAGGTTTCAACTACAAAATTAAATCATTTTACTTTGTAATTTAATAATTTTTTTACTCTATTTGTGTGTGCTACTACTAGACTATAATATTACAATTTTTTTTTGTAACATGTTGCTATATAAATCATTTCTAAAAAAAATGATTGTTTTTTCTCCTGAATTAACAATTGATTTTTACAACTATAATTAAATTTTATAATACGCTCAATTGAGTAAATCTTTTTAACAACTTTGTTTTGATTGGTTCATTTAGTTAAAGTAAATCATTAAAATTAATTAAGTTCTCAATATTTCAATTATAGAATCTTTTCAACAAACAACAAAAGTTCCTAGGAAATTATTACTATTACTTCTATTTAAGTTATCTATTACCATAAAAATGCAAAAAAATATTGAGCTTTTCTGATAAATTTACAATAAATAGTAATTATAAAACTTTCTGACTGCATATTGATCTTAACGATACAATTTTTTTAATTGTCATAAAATTTTCTATTTAATTATGTCAATGTCAAACTTACCAATTGAGCTAAAAGTTATGGTAAAATAAATTTTTTTTTTTTATTATAAACATTTACAACAATCAACTTTAAACGATTAACAAAATAGGTTAAATATGTCATTTTCCTTATTTTTAACTTATTAATAATCAAATTAATATTAAATATTATATCAAATCAGTATTAATTTAAAACAATTTTTTTTGTTCTTAATTATTTTTTTTTATATGTAAAAACTATTTTTTAATAATATTAAAACTTAGAAGTTATAGAAAAAGTCTAATTGCACATTTTAAAACATCGCGAAAAGTTGATTTAGAATAGTATATTTTTGTTTCTGATGGAAGTTCCTTGTAGTCCAGTGTATAAAACTTATAACTTTGTTAACTGTTATAACTTTATCAAAAATGACCAAATCAGTATATTTTTTTTTATTTAGATGCATGTCTTTATCTATCATTTGGTTTTTTTTATAAATCTAACCCTTTACCTGCCCACAAGAGGGATTCAAAATAATAACTTTTTTTTTTTAGTTAAAGTAAATCATTAAAATTAATTCAGTTCTGGATATTTCAATTGTTGACTCTTTTTAAATACCAAAAATTACTTAGAAATGATTACTAAGATTTCTATTTAAGTGTTCTATTTCGATAAAAATGCAAAAAATAATGAGTTTTTTTGATAAATATACTATAATAGTAATTATAAAATTTCCTGACTGTAAATTAATCTTAAAAATAACATTGTTTTAATTCTCATAAAATTTTCTATTTAATGATTTATTCAAGTCAACGAAGGAGTAATTTTGGTGAATAACAGAAAAAATTCCCAACCATATTTTTTTTTTTTTTTTAAGTAGGAAATTGGTGGATTATTCCAAAAGCAACATCAACTTTTATTTCTTTAATTATATCTTGATTAGTAGTACTTTGATTTTAAAATAATAATATTGTATTAATATTATTGTATAATATTGTAATTTTACAATATTAACTTAATATTGTAATTTAAACGGAGAAATTATAAAAATTATAAAGAAGTTATATTTTGCTTTACTTTTACGTGTATAAAAATTTAAAGGGCTTGATACAATAATTTTCAATAAAAACTGTTTGTTACTATAAAAAAATGCACGGGACTACAAGGAACTTTCATCAGAAGCAAAAATATACTTTTCTAAATCAAATTTTCGCGTTGTTTTCAAATCTGCAAGTAGACTATTTCTATCACTTCTAATTTTTTATATTATTACTAATTATATATATAAAATAATAATTAAAAGAAAAAAAAATTTGTTTTCAAATTATTACTGATTTGATTTTTAATATGTTAAAAATAATCAGCCCAAATTTTCAATTTTAACCTATTTTTTTGTTTCTTTAAAGTTGATGAAAAATTTTTGATAAAGATTTATGAAAGTTTAAAGTAAAAAAAATTGAACCATAACTTTTAGCTCAATTATAAATTTAAAATTGATATCTAGGCCAGTCAACAAAGGAAAAATTGCGGAAAAATTCCAAACCAAATTTTGTTTTTTTAAAAGTTGAATTAAAATATGTATAATGACATACTAATAGTCCTCAAGATTGGAATTGAGCTTTTTTTTTACAGCCTCGCAAAAGTTCAAAAATATGAGCTTTTTTAATTTTCTCAAAAAATATTTAACTTACAAAAAAAAGTTTCGTACAAAAGTTGTTTAAAAGACAATTATAAACAAAAAAATTATCTTATATTTTTTCATTTAAACAAATATTTTTCGAGTTACATTACATTTAATATGAGTACTAAAATTTATATTCCATTTTTTTCATTTTACGGTTACTTTTTATCATGTTATACTGACATTAGACACAATGTTATAAATGTATATGTGTGTATGTGTGAGTTTATTTATTTATTGTATCATTAAAGTGTAGTGTATATTAATATACAAGCGATAGAGTAAGTAATTGATAAGACGCTATATTGTTTAAACCGAACTAAACGCAAAATTGTACATTCCCAAACAACAATCATATTATGTCAATTGCCACCGGAATTTCTGGTAATCTTTTTCTTTTTCTTTGCCTTAATCCCAACTACTTGGGGTCGGCCATCCTTATCCTAAGCTTCCACTTGACACGATTTCCCACATCTTCTACGCTCACATCAGCTGTCCTCAAATCGCATTCAATAGCATCCCTCCATTTTTTTTTTTGGTCTTCCTCTATCTCTTCTTCCTTCAAAATTCATTACTAAACTGTTCTTACAGCTTCCGATTCTACTCTCCTCATAACATGACTTAACAATCTAAGTCTATTTTCTGTCATCTTATCCACGATTGACGCAACACCTATACTTCCTCTTATATGCTCGTTCCTTATTTTATCTTATCTAGTCACTCCACTCATCCAACTAAGCATTCTCATCTCTGCTACACTTATTCTCTGCTCTACTTTCTTATCAACCGCCCAACACTATTAACCATACATCATAGCTGGCCTCACAATTTCATACTAAATTTAAAAACTATAATTAGTATTTATTCATATATTATATTTTAAAATCAAAGAACTACTAATCAGGATATAATTAAAGAAATAAGAGTTCATGTTGCTTTTAAAATATTCCACCAATTTCTCTAAATGAAACACTATCTACAGATTTGCATCGAAGCGTTTCTTATGATAGTGATTTTAATCACTGTCAGATATCATCTATACTTGTCCCATCTATGCCTCGTCCACACTGTGCCTCGACCCCATTGTGCTACCGTTTTTTTTTTTAAATAAACGGCATGACGTGCTCAACTACAAACTTTAGTGTCGCCTATTTTTTTTTCATTCTATTATTATCCACTCACTACCACCGAACCAATTGCGTGTCAAAATATTAAAAATATATTTTATAGTTTTAAATAAATTTTAAAGCTGATAAAATAAAAATTTCATCATCGAAAACAATGTATTATAAAAAATCATGCCATTAAAATCAATAGAAATAATTATTTAAATTTTAACTAAAATTAAAAGATGTATGCTTTTTTAAATTTACAGATTATAATTTGAATAATTTAACCATACCATAATTAATATAATTCAAAATTTCCTAACGTCTGAATGATAGTTTTAATCATCATGTTATTTTAAACACAGATATTGTAATATTTTCATTAATAAATTTGTTGTTTATTTATGATAAATTCCGTCATGCGCTGATGTGGCCCCTGTTGCGTCGTCATGAATTCGTTTTCTAATTCAGCTTGTATGCTGTTGTTATCGAACGTCGTGAGAAATTCCCTCGCAAATTGTCGCCAGGACATGTTGTTTAACTTGATGGTTTCCCACCAAGTTAATGCCATGCCCTTTAAAAATTGTACGCCCGTTTTTACCCATAAATCGCGATCTACGCCTGCTTGGGCTAATAGGTTTTCTACCTGTTCTAGAAACTCGCGTGGGTCCTCCTCATATTTTCTCGTAAACTCGGGGGAAGGGGGTCGTACAATAGGCGAATAATTAAGTGGCCCGATCGCCGTGTGCGTGTGCAAACGGGTCGATGATGATGGGGACAAATCGCGTGTTGGTGGCGCGAATGTGTTCGTCGCGAAGTGCCCCGGGTGGTGTGGGTGCGCGTCTACGTTGTAAACCGCGTCGTGCGTGTTCGCTCGAAGAAGCGATGGTGACGTGCGCGGAGTCTGACTGGCTAATCGCTGTAGGTTAAGCGCTTCGCGCTCCTCGATTTCAGTCAGGCGCTGCTGTAGGGCCGCGTAATTTTGAGTCGTGTTGCTAGGCCTAAAAGTTACGCGGCTCGGTTTGGACAGACGCGCGTAAGTAGAACGGTTGGTTTCCGTCGTTTCTCGCGTCATCTGTGTGGTGGCGAACGGATTACGTATAGTCTCGTTGTGTGTATCGCGGCTTACAATCGTTTGTGAGAGAGATCGTATTTCTTGCGTAATGCGAGACAGTGCTCTCTCCACTTCAGACATGCGCGCATCCATACGTGTATTAAGAGATATATCGCGTAAACTTTGTCTTACTGCGCCTATCTCCTCCGTTGCGTGGGATATTGAACGCACCGTATATAAGTCATCGATATACGCTGCATTCCCACTACCGTTAGGACGGCCGGTTGCCAGAGACCATTCGTGTAGAGATTCCTCTTCAGGGTCCTCTCGCGCCAGGTTAACCGGTCGGTCCGCGTATGTGGTTGGGTCGACGGTCCGGCATAACGCGGGGACTTCGTCTACCTGAGGCTCGCGTTCCGTCGCAGAATCGCGTTCGATGGGTCTAGCCCCTCACTACGTAAACTATTCTCCAAGACTGCCAGCATATCGCTTTTTGTCGTGGGGCCGTTTAACTGCCTATAAGCGCATTCGCGCAATAATTCCCGACGGTTCATTTGAGCGAGAGTTTTACCGGTCATAATGAACGTTCCTTACGTATTTATCGAAAATAAACAAAAATAAATAAAAGAAACGCACGCGCTTATTTGTTGTTGTTATTTAGAAATACGATATCGCCGATCGCGAGAATACGCACTGTGTGTTCGCGTATGAACGTCAACAATGTGGGCCGTTTGTATTATTATTGTTATTATTATTGTAGTGTGATTGTAATAATATTGTGGTATTGCGTTGATAGTGGTTTGCTATAGCACTATGATACTAAATAGTATATGGAAATGCGATTATTACGATAGCAGTCGTATAATGATTGTGGAGGTCGGAAATAATAATACAAACGATTTTATGGGACCCGGTTATTAAATGTAACGATCGCTGTGGTATGATCACCCTACCTGCCTAGCGGTTTTAACGAAACACTTAAATGATTGTGTTCGCGGCGTTGTGCGACTCAAGGTCGTCGGTGCGCGTGTATGTATAAATACGAAATCGCCAGAAATCCACTTTTACCGTGTTTAAAAATACACCGAAGGTGGAAATCTACTACTCGCGAGGTAGATAGTATTTATACGACCGGGTGGGAATTTCACTGCTGTCACCAGTGAAGTAGAAGTTAAAAATACCCGTAGTACAGGAAGGTAAGGAAAATTTCGCTGTCTCTTTTAAATAAAATTCAAAATTTATGTAATTAATATAAAATGTCAGCAGTATTTTCTTACCTTATTAAAAAGTTAATCCGGTTCAGATCTTGAGCCGGGGAGCCAGTTGTTATGGTAGAAGTTGATGAGGGTTAGAAAATGTAACACCGGTTGATTTTAACTGTGCGTCGAGCCGTTTAATAAAAGAAGTAAAAAAAAAACGAGAATTATAACACTAGTAAAAACTCTAGTAGAACAAAAAAGAAAGTAACAGTAATACTTTTAAGAACCGTCGACAGAATAATAAAAGTTGATCGAGATTGCGGTGGCGTTTTGGTTGGTACGGTAGACGGCGTATCCAAAGTGATCGGTGTCACGAAGATGACTGACTGGACGTATTATTGCGGCGGGGTATTAGACGCTAGACATTTGTTGGACTTTACACCACGACGATAACGCGTGTGTGTAACGGTCCGGTTTACAGTGAAGCGGTGGCATAGAAGGAGCTGATACGACCGCGGGGTGTCAACGTGTGACAACGCCGTGGCCGTGTCAAATGTTACCATTACCAATGCTAAACACATACTAACACTCTCACCAAAACAAAAAACCCTAATAATCTTAATGAACTTATTACCTGGAGAAATTATCACTATTATCATATTTTGACAGTTAACATAAGTTTGATAACGAATTTTTTAGTGAACCTGGTTCACATTTAATTAAATTGCAATTTTTTTAAACATTTTTACTGCCTCATTTATAATTAGGGAATTGTAATTATTTACATTTTTAATTAGTGTTATGGCTTTAACGAAATGACTATTTGTCAATAAATGTTCATTCACAAGAGATTTCTTCAACTTCTTGATTTTTAATGTTTCTTAAGTGTTAATTAAACCTGACTCCTATATTTCTTTTTGTTAGTTCTACGTAACATTTATTACGATTTTCACATTGTATTTTATAATTTCCCGATTTTTTCCTGTATTCTACTTATCTTTTGGGTTAATTAATAAATATTTTAATATTTATAATATAAATATTAATATAATTCATATTATATAATAAAATATAATATAATAAAATAACAATATAATTTATAATTTATAAATATAAAAATAAATATTTTGAACTATAACTCTTAAATATTACTAAAGTATTACAAATTTTTTTAAAAATTCTAGCTAGTCAACTTGAAATTTCCGGATAATATATAATGGATGCTTTAATTACTTTTTGTGTTCCTAGGCTAGTGAATATACTAGCGCCCTCTTTTTTTTCCACTTTTGTCATCGGACAAATTTTGAAATTTCGTTATAACCATTAAATCATATTATNTTTGTAATCGGACAAATTTTGAAATTTCGTTATAACCATTAAATCATATTATTCCTCTCATAACCCTCAATTCTTTATCGAAATCTATTTTATTCATCGGAGTATTAACTCATCTGTAAACCATATTATTAAAAGTTGCCATTTTGTATTACCAGCTGTCATTTATGTTATTCGAAATGTACCTGAACGTGTGTGTCTTTTTCCGATAAATTTCAAAATTTAGTTCCCCCTACTTTTTTAACTAATAAATTAAAAAAGGCGACTTTCCCTATACTTCTGGTTTGTATATGAATTTAATCGACGGATGAAAATAATTTAAAAGTTGTATAATACCTCAGTTTTAAAGTCTTTGTTTATTACTGTAATAATATCATCTGCATACCAGTCTAAATTTTCGAAAAACCACTATATGTGATTTTTAAATTTGTTTCGAACCTACTCGTGAAAATTTTTGCTAAAAATGATGATAGCAGATTACCTATTGCTGTGCTCTAATTTGCTCATGAAATGTATTTTGAAACTAATAAATATATTTAAAATACTGTTAAAATATATTAAGTTCATAAATCATTAGGAAAAAATATATAAATAAAAACTTAAATACGCATCCATCGTAATATACAATTTAGTGTAATAATGTAAGATAGATATGAAATTATTTAGTTCTGAATATCTATAAATTTTTTAGTGTAGTCATATTGACAACTTTATCACTTTTTTGTAGTGTAACAAAGCAAAAAAAACCCAGCACAGAGGGAATCAAGTATAATGATATATATATCGTTATCTAAAATGCCTATAGATTTACCACCAGTAACGTTAGCAAATTTTTCTTGTGATTATTATGAATGGTCAACATTTTATGATTTGTTTAATAATTTAATTCATACAAATACTAGTTTGATGCCGATTCAAACATTTTTTTATTTGCGAGGTTTGTTCAGCGGAGATGCCTTAAATTCGATTAAATGTCTAAGTATGTCAACTGAAAATTACAATACTGCTTGGAAAACGTTAACAGAGCGGTTTAATAACACAAAGGTTATCGTGCAAAGTCATGTAAAAGCGATTTGCGACATGGAACCCTTGAGTAGTGAATCTGCTATAAAATAGCAATTTCGACAACGACTCATCATGGTGCATCCCATAATGGGGGACTTGCCAAGTGATAGAGTTGAACCTTCTCGAGCTTTTAAGATAAGCGGAGTAGATTTCTGGGGGCCAGTGATGTTAAAGAGTAGTTTAAGAAAAAATGCACCTTTAAAAAAGGCCTATGTTTGTGTGATCATGTGTTTTTCAACTAAGGCCGTACATATTGAGTTGGTAAATGGATTAAGTACGCAGGACTTTATACAATCATTACAGAGGTTTATGGCTAGGAGAGGAAAAATTAGTCTGATATATTCAGATAATGGCACAAACTTTAACGGTACAGATCGTCAGTTAAAAGAGGTGTATGAGTTATTTCATTCAGAAGCGCATAAAAAGGAGTTATTTGAGTATTTTACAAATGAATGTAATGAGTGAAAGTTTATACCTCCACGCTCTCCACATTTCGGGAGATTATTGGAGTGTGCTGTAAAAAGCATGAAAGGACTCATAAAAAGAATACTGGGCGAATCGCATTTAACGTTCGACGAAATGTAAACCGTGCTTACGCGCGCTGAGGCTTGTCTGAACTCACGTCCTCTCACTCCTCTATTTCCTTGTCCAACCGTCTTAACTGTGCTAACTCCTGGTCATTTTTAATTGGTGAAGCATTGACTACATTACCAGAGAGAGACGTAAGCTATACTCCATCAAATCGATTAGACTGTTAGCGTAGAGTAAATACGTTTTCTCAGCAAATATGGAAACGCTGGAGTAGCGAATATCTTTCACAACTTCAAACTCGCTACAAATGGGCAAAAGAAAAGGGACCTAAACTGTCAGTGGGTTCAATCGTCTTAATAAAAGAAGAAAATCTCAGCCCTCTGGTCTGGTGGTTGGGCCGAGTATTAAGCGTTATATGTGGTAAGGATAGTGTGATCCGCATAGCAAGGTTAAAAACAGCCTTTGGTGAATCCTTACGAGCAGTTCGAAATTTAAGTACATTGCCGATTGAAGTCGATTGATTTATTGAAAATTTATAGTTTGTCAATTTAAATATTTTTGTTATCTGTTTGTTATTTTAAAATGTTGGTTTTTTTTTGTAATTTGTTTTGTGTTTTATATATATGTAAAACACAAAACCAATATATTATATTGGTTTGTTATATAAATTTTATATTGATTTTGGTTAATCAAAGTGGGCGGCTTGTTTGATATTAGGGAAATAACGCTAGATATATTTTGTTATAGAATAGGTGGGGGGGGTCAGTGGATCGTAGGGTTTATGTTTGTAAGTCAATCGAAAACCGGACAGCGAATGATAAGNGGATCGTAGGGTTTATGTTTGTAAGTCAATCGAAAACCGGACAGCGAATGATAAGTCCGGCGTACCTATAGTTTTATTCGTATATGAAATTTAAAAAACGGTAGCACAGTGGGGTCGAGGCACAGTATAGACGTGGCATAGATGAGATAAGTATAGATGATATCTGACAGTGATTAAAATCACTATCATAAGAAACGCTTCGATGCAAATCTGTAGATAGTGTTTCATTTAGAGAAATTGGTGGATTATTCCAAAAGGAACATCACCTCTTATTTCTTTAATTATATCCTGATTAGCAGTTCTTTGATTTTAAAATATAATATATGAATAAATACTAA